TTCCAGGAGCGTGTACATGTGTCAACTAGCAGTACTGTCTAGGACGGGAAATGTTTGCTGGGTGCTCTGTAGGGGTATTATTCGGTGCCCCAAAGTATTTATATTTAAAGAGAACAGTCTGTGGCAAACCAATTTCTTGCTATATTGCTACTGGCATAAGTCGTTGCCAACGGATGCGTACATTTGTACACAGCGGCAAGTTGAAATTATGCAGAAAGTCTCGGTCTCTTGGTGCTCGGTAACAACGGAAGAAGTATACAGCTCTTGTTAGAGTTCCTGGTCCATTAGCTTAGACCTTGATTATTCTTACAGCGGTTGTCGATATCTTATCGTTGGCGATACTGTCTGCCATGCAATCTCGTTCTTCAAGAAATATTCAAGCAACCAGTAAGGCACATCTGAAAATAAGTGGATGTCGGCTAGACAGTGAATATCTGACTATGCACAGGGTACTGAAACTAGGTGTGCATCAGTGTAAGCATCGCAATCTAGACACGAAAACAATAGACACCTTTTCTTTGATGAGGATCTTGGTCAATCAAGTTGTGCCTCGCACACTGTCACAAATTGCATGCCTTCATTAAGCCGCCATCTCGCAGCAACGTCTACTTCATTCTTCCCCGCCTGCGTGGGCGTGCAAACTGCGTCCGAAAGAATGTCCACTGAGGGACCAGAAGGCGGATATTCGCCTTATCTAGGTTGGAACTTGGCACGTACGCACCTCGGGGATATATCTCATGTTTCCGATACGACACTCGCGAGGCACGAAGTGAATTCCATTTCATGGACAGACTATCGGATTTAAAGGAGGTTTCGGCGCAATGACTGGGCCTAGTGAGGATGGACCTCCGAGGAGACCCAGGATTTAATGTGAAGGTGTGTTCTGATGGAAAAAAACTTGTCATTCGGCAGGTTTCGAACCTGCACAGTCCAAGAGACACAGATTTTGATTCTGTGGTGGTAACCACTTGGCTAACACGAGTTAAGAAAAAGTCCGACGAAACTATCCATGAGCGAATGTCAAAGTGTATTCCGAGAGAGAGGAAAGGCTGTCGTTGGTAGGTTTGAAACCTGTGCAGTCCAAGAGAAACGTTTAATTCGATTACAAAACATGCCAGGAATAAGCAAGTCGGAAACTACACTGTAAACGTATTTAACAACGCCTTGCATATTCAACAGATGCCAACAAGTGAACAAACTTGAACAAACCATCGCGGTTCTCACAAAAAACCATTCATCTATCATCTAATCGCCTCTCTTCGAAATATAGGTTCGTGGTGCCTGTTGCCAATTGGAGTCTTACCCTGAGCCTCGATCAACGACACAAATCAACACCCCATGGTATTCACGCGCCACATTGCTCCTCGTAGCTCCTGATGTTGTTTTCCGGCAATATCGCATCGCGCCACGTACAGAGGTATACAGTATCTCCGGGGCGAATTGCTTGTGAAGATGGTGATCAAGACGTGAGCATTCAAATTGACACTGCACGCGTTCGCTGTGTGCTCGGATCAAGATTAATCCTTCGAAGGTCGTCCTACGCAGGAGAGGTGGAATTTATGACAAATTTAACCGTGTATGCACCACAATGGTGCATAATGTGGATTGATGAGTGTAACGGGTTGGAACGACTGCATTGTTCAGCTCCCTTCGATTGTTCTCATAATTGCTCACAGTGATCGATCGATCAGGCCTTGCGCAGCATGCACCCAACTTGGTTTGCTGAATTACACCACCGTGACGAATTGATGACACACGTCTGCGGACTGCAGCATTACGCTTATGACGTTCACCCTGCACGATGCCCTTGAATACTTCAAGTCTAGTACGTCACATTCAATTTCACCACGAGCAACGAATACGGAGACAATAACCAACATGGATGGAATGCTTATCAATGGTTATTTGTGTCTTTTGATTTTCCTCGAGCGATTGTGTCAACCTGACATGCATAACAAGCAGGAGGTCATAATAGGTAAACATTGTTCATTCTCTCTAGGAGCCACAGATAATTATACATGCGCGTTACCCAGAATATCCGACAGTCTCAACAGTATCTCCTGTACCTATATCCAAGATACCTAGAACCCGACGAAATAATACAACAAAAATGGTTAACGAAGAACGAAGCATGCTGAACGAAACTGTCATGACAAGTAAGTGAAGTGGTGTCGTTCATTAAACCTGCAGTAGCTTAAACGCTATAGAGGGTATGGCACTGTCCTATTTACGAGGAGCAGTGTCTGGAGCTGCAACAAATGACGATAAGTAGTCGTTCCGCGGATTAAACAACTGTCCCCACTTACTTTTGCATATGACTGAGATAGTGTGCATCGCGTTCACGCAATGACACAGTAACAACCTCCGGAGCTTGATGACGACTCCTCTTCAACTGGTGTTGATGATGCAGGACTCCTCTCATCGTCAGCCTTTGAAGCGGACAGCATAGCGAGGATGTTTGAGAATGAGTCCATTGCTTGGAAAAGACTAGGGTGACTTTCACGAGTGGCCGAAGGTGTTGTATGAGAGATGGCAGTTGGATGAACTGCTGGCGAACGACAACTGAATGTTGGTTGAGCTGGTAGACATCGCATTTTCGAGGCGCTTATATACCTTTCTACTGCAATGGTTTCACCATTGAGGGAACTTTGTAAAATCCCGTATGTTCCGTCCTAATTGTCACCAAAATATCACTGTTCGACTTAGACTTGCCACGCGCCCGCCGCCATTGGAGATTCCATTGACGTAGACAATAGGTTGGCGAGCAATAGTGAATGTATATGAGATATTACTATATCGTGTGACAATTCCGATGGGTAGGGGGAGGGGCTTGACAATAAGGTCATCCAAATCAGGCAACCATAGTATTCATTGCAGAGGTGACCGGTCAACCTCCGTTGGGTGATGACGAATTTTTATTCCACGTACCTTGTAAGTTGAGATGCCGTCCTGAAGTTTATTGTTCGCTGAAGTTGGTCGACTATGCTCTCGACCAGGGGCGTGAACTTCTGTGGCGTGTGCGCTCCGGTCGAAATGAACATGATCCCAGCCGCGCGAGTCTGAGTCACAGGCTTGGGAGTCGGGAAATGGGAAATATGATCCATGGTCCATCAGCGATGTATAAGCATGTCTCTGATCATATGACGTACCACCAGGCTGCGCCATTGTCCCGAACCCTATATATATATGAACTCTACGAAACCACAGAAGCTCGCAATGCCAGGAATCATGCACATGTTTCATAGGCAATCCACTGAATAAAACAACGCGCTATATGTTCGAGTTGGAACACCATTTGACGTTGACGATACCAGTCGGAAGCACAAGTCGTGGGTCACCGCCAGGCTATAGATAGGCTCATGGCGTGCCTGATTGCCGTCCTGAGTCCAGACTTGGTTCGGACATCCCAAAGCTATCATAATACACCTTATATCTATAAAAAATGTATCAGTTAAGGGAACGTAGTGAATCTCTCACACGAATTGTTGCAACTCGATCTATCGAGCTCATGGCTCAGAAGTTCAGTCGACACATTTATCCGCATGAGTACTGTCTAGGACGGGAAATGTTTGCTGGGTGCTCTGCAGGAAGGAGACATCCGTTCGAAGTTTCGTCGAGGTATTATTCGGTGTTCCAAAGTACTTATATTTAAAGAGAAACAGTCTGTGGCAAACCAATTTCTTGCTATATCACTACTGGCATAAGTTGTTGCCAACGGATACGTACATTTGTACACAGCGGCAAGCTGAGATCATGCAGAAAGTCTCGGTCTCTTGGTGATCGGTAACAACGGAAGAAGTAGACAGCTCTGTCAAGCTGCCACATCGCAGCAACGTCTACGTCATTCTTCTTTCCCTGCATGGGTGTGCAAACCACATCTGAAAGAATGTCCACTGAGGGACCAGAATGCAGATATTCATCGCCTCGTCTAGGTTGTAACTTGGCACATACGCACCTCGGAAATAAATTTCATGTTTCTGATACGACGCTCACGGGGTGTAAAGTGAATTCCTTTTCATGGACAGACTAATGATCACATAAAAAGGAGGTTTCGGCGCAATGAGTGGGCCTAGTTAAGGTGGAAACCACCCAAGAGTCAATGTGAAGGTGTATTCTGATAGAAAAAAACCTGTCATTCGGCAGGTTTCGATCCTGCACAGTCCAAGAGGCACAGATTTTAATTCTGTTGCGGTAACCATTTGGCTAACACGAGTTACAGCTGTGTGCGTATATAATGGCACTGGCATGTTGTGGGAAAATCATAATTGAGGATTTGGGACTTTGAAAATTTTCACCGTTTTGAGACTTAGAGAAAAATTCAAACAATTGCACCACGTCGGACAACAATACACCTAGTATGGTCAACCGAAAGATCTCATCCGACGTCAAACTCGCTGCCATTCGCCTGTATGAGCAAGATATCCTTAGTCTTCGTGAAATCCTTGATTGCGTCGGCTTCTCGAGACGCACATTCTTCCGCATCCGAAAGCTCTATCAGCACACCGGCGATGTAGTCAAACCACGGGGTGAATTCACAGGTCGTCCGAGGAAGCTGAATCTTGAGGATGTTCAGTACCTCGTGGAACTGGTCCACCACCGGCCAGATTGGTTTCTCGACGAGATCACTCGACTCATGTTATGCAACCGCTTCATTGCACTCCACTACACCACCATCCACCGTGAGCTCCATCGTGCGGGCGTTTCCCTCAAAAAGCTCCGTAAAATCACCAAAGAACAAAATGAAGATCTCCGTGTGATGCGGCATTATGTAACACAGAATGGTAAAAAAAAACTAAGTCCCAAATCTCAATCGTGATTTTCCCACAACACGCCAGTGCCATTAGTTTCGCAAACTGCTGTAAGATAAAAGGCCGACGAAACCATCCATGAGCGAATGTCAAAGTGTGTTCCGAGAGAGAGAAAACCCTGTCATCTGCAGGTTTGAAACCTGCGCAGTCCAAGAGAAACGTTTAATTCGATTACAAAACATGCCAGGAATAAGCAAGTCGGAGGCTACACTGTAAACGTGTTTACACGTGTTTAACAACGCCTTGCGTATCCAACAGATGCCAACAAGTGACCAAACTTGAACAAACCACCGCGGTTCTCGCAAAAAACCATTCTTCTATCATCTAATCGCTCTCTTCGAAATATACGTTCGTAGTGCCTGTTGCCAATCGAATACGGCTCGAAACGGTTCCTTCATGGCTTTGTGATTGTCAAATTAAAGTTTCTTCTTGGTTTGCCAGCTGACCAACACTTTCTGGTGCTAGGAAAGGAATCTATCCCGATGCTCCTAGATTCTTACGGAGTCCCTCACGAGTAAGATCTCTCTTCTTTCTTACTCTTCTTTCCCTTAGCTTCGATCAACGACATCAACCAACACCCCATGGCGTACACGCGCCACATTACTATTCCTCTGGTCTTCTGGTGCAATGCCGCCTTGCACCACGTACAGAAGTACATAGAATATCCGGGGTGAATTGTTCGTGATGACGGAGATCAAGACGATAAACTCGCGAGCATCGAAATTGACAATGCACACGTGTTCGCTGTGTGCTCAAATCAAGATTAATCCATTGAAGGTCGTCCTACGCAGGAGAGGTGGAGTTTATGACACACTTAACGTGCATGCACCACAATGGTGTGTGGTGTGGATTGACGAGTGTAACGGGTTGGAACGACTGCATTGTTCAGCTCCCTTCGATTGTTCTCATAATTGCTCACAGTGATCGATCGATCAGGCCTTGCGCGGCATGCACCCAACTTGGCTTGCTGAATTACACCACCGTGACGAATTGATGGCACACGTCTGCGGACTGCAGCATCACGCTCATGACGTTCACCCTGCACAATGCCCTTGAACACTTCAAGTCTAGCACGTCGAATTCAATTTCACCATGAGCAACGAATACAGAGACAATAGCCAACATGGATGGAATGCTTGTAAATGGTTGTTTGTGTCTTTTGATTTTCCTCGAGCGATTTTGTCAACCTGACACATGCGCAAAGGTATCACCAGTAGTGGGTCATAATAGGTAATAACATTGTTTATTCTCTCCAGGCGCCACAGATAATTATATATGTGCGTTACCCAGAATACCCAACAGTCACAGCAGTATCTCCTGTACCTATATCCAAGATACCCAGAACCCGACGAAATAATACAACAAAAATGGTGAACGAAGACCGAAAAATGGTTAATGAAGAACGAAGCATGCTGAACGAAATGTATTGTCATGACAAGTAAAGTGAAGTGGTGTCGCTCATTAAACCTGCCGTAGCTTAAACGCTATAGAGGGCACCGTCCTATTTACAAGGAGCAATGTTTGGAACCGCAACAAATGACGGTAAGCAATCGTTCCGCGAATTAAACAACTGTCTCCACTTACGTTCGTATATGACTGAGATGGTGTGCATCGCGTTCATGCAATGACACAGTAAGCATTCCCGGTGGTTCCTGACGTCGAATCCTCTTCAACCGGTGTCGACGATGCAGGACTCCTCTCATCGTCAGCCTTTGAAGCGGACAGCATAGCGAGGATGTTTGAGAATGAGTCCATTGCTTGGAAAAGACTAGGGTGACTTTCACGAGTGGCCGAAGGTGTTGTATGAGATATGGCAGTTAGATAAACTGCTGGCGAACGACAATTGAATATTGGTTGAGCTGATGGACATCGCATTTTCGAGGCACTTATATACCTTTCTACTGCATCAGTTTCACCATTGAGAGAACTTTGTAAAATCCCGTATGTTCCGTCCTAGTTGTCACCAAAATATCACTGTTCGACTTAGACTTGCCACGCGCCCACTGCCATTGGAGATTCCATTGACGTAGACAATAGGTTGGCGAGCAATAGCGAATGCATATGAGATATTATTATATCGTGTGATGATTCCGCTTGACAATAAGGTCATCCAAATTAAGCAGCCGTAGTATTCATTGCACAGGTGACCGGTCAACCTCTGTTGGGTGATGTCGAATTTCGTTCTATGTACCTTTTAACTTGAGATGCCGCCCTGAAGTTTATTATTCGCTGAAGTTGGTCGAGCGTGCTCATGACCATGGGCGTGAACTTCTGTGGCGTGCGCGCTCCGGTCGAAATGAACATGATCCCAGCCGCGCGAGCCTGAGTCACAGGCTTGGGAGTCGGGAAATGGGAAATATGATACATGGTCCATCAGCGATGCATAAGCATGTCCCTGATCATATGACGTACCACCAGTCACCATTGTCCCAAACCCTATATATATGAACTCTACGAAACCAAAGAGGCTCACAATGCCAGGAATCATGTTTCCGAGTCATAGGCAATCCACTGGATAAAACAACGCGCCACACATTCGAGTTGGAACACCATTCAACGTCGACGATGCCAGTCGGAAGCTTGAACCTGAAGTCATGGTTCACCACCAGGCTATAGATAGGCTCATGGCGTGCCTGATTGCTGTCCTGAGTCCAGCCTGAGACTCGGTTCCGACGTCCCAAAACTATTATAATACACCTTGTATCTAAAAAAAATGTATCAGTCCAGGGTACTAACGTAGGGAATCTCTCACACGAATTGTTGTAACTCGATCTATCGAGCTCATGGCTCAGAAGTTTAGTCGACATATTTATCCGCATGACATCAAAAGAAGGCGCGAGTGTCAAAGAACACTGCATTCCATTCCACGTGCGATGGAACGGAGATACCTGTATGTTGATGCCTTGTCGTGGAATGTATGATGGGGGGAAAGAATTAGGAATGCAACTACTGTACGTTGGATGAGTTGATCATCTGTAAGCATACTGGCTTACTAGAGTCTGTCTGCGATAGCTTTCAGTATCACTCAGGCCTTTTGGTATGACAGTGTGACTAAGCAGACGACAGTCTTCACTCAGCTACATCATCGCAAGAAACCACGACACTTGAAATTATATATGCCATGCAAGATTGAGAGAAACAGGGATAACGTTCTATAGATAAGGACAGAAAAATATATAAGGCTAGAAAGGAGTGTATGTAGTATGGAACATTCAAGATCAAGAGAAACAGGGTGACGCTATATGAGCAAGAACACAAAAATGTAATGCTAAAAAGGAGTGTAGGCAGTATAGAGCTTCTGGAACGAGGGTACGATAGAGTAGAGAGTGGAGGGGGTGGGACCATGTGTCAATTGTTAGATATGTTGAAAAATGAGTGTATCTAGCCCTTCTTGGACTCAAACCGCACGGCTATTGTCTCATCACTATCAATATGCCTGATAGTCTTCTTGTCTCCAACAATCCCAGCACCGTGGAGGAAAAGCGTTGCCAGCAGCGCAGCTAATCACCGTGACAAAACAAATCGTCAACAAAGCACTCTCAACGCAGGCCGAATTCGCAGCACTCACCCACAAGTGCAAATGAAGCGCAGCTCCATTGCGCAGATCTATAACCCTTAAGCTGTGCGAAATGGGGCGCGTTGGTGCCAGCAGAGTTGACAGTAACGCCAACATCAGCAGACTCGTTTTTAACTACGATGTTGAACACAAGCGTAGATAAAGCAAGTCCGATCGCAGTGCCGAGCTATCACAAATCAATTGACATTAGAACAGGACAGTATCAGTTGGTTAAACGCCACTTGCCTGTGTCATAGTTTGAAACAGAGCCCCAGCCACGCTGCGCTCATGTGGGAGCGCGATCTTGGCGATGAAAATTGTACCAGCGGAGTACATAAAATCAGCGCCGAACACGACAAGAACCGTGGATGGGAAGGCAAATGCCCAATACGTCACGGTCGGGTCAATCAGCGCAAACAGGATAGCGGCAGATGCTGTCAGTAGCGTTCCGCTGACTGAACGACAAGACAAGTCAGCGTTACATGTTACAATACTTCTCGCACAGAGCCATACCTGCAAAGATGACCAAAGGCAATTTGCCAACAAACATTGCAACCAAAACGTTGCACAAACAGCCGACAATGAACATTGGAATGAACCGAAGCATAGTTTGCATAGGTGTGAGCAGAAGGTAATTCTGATAATACAACTTGAACAGAGCGTAGTCAGCGTCCTCGTTCCTCCTGGCAGTAAATCATGGAGTACCTGGACCCAAAAGCTCCAGCTAACGAACGCACAGGAATTCAGGAATGCAATGGCGAGAATAACAGCCATCCGGCCCTTTGCTCGCGTCCAAAGCGAGAGCCTCATCAATGGCGGTGGTGTCCATGCGGACGTTGTGCTTGATGGATCACCTATAACTTGCTCCAAGTATCGCTCCCAAAGCAAGAACAGCAAAACCATGATAATCCCGACAATTAGAAGGATAATGATGTCTAGCAATGATTATGAAATTTAGCAATACGTGACACAGAAAAAGTCTTACATGGAGTTTTCCAGCCTTGAGAAGCAACTTCTCCTTGACCAAGTACAAATACAAGCAGGACCAGACCAATGGTGACGAGGGAAGCGCCGATCCAGTCGACAGCTTCCGTCGAAGTTACATCTGCGTCGAATGAAATCATACTGGAAATACTCGTTAGAGCAGACATTACTGCAACCAAATAGAATGAGGAGCGCCAATGCGTCCTTTATGAAGACATCAAAAATTCAGCATCGCTTGAACAACTTATGACGTACGAGGATATTTGTGTGAGGACACCGCCGATGATCATGCCAAATGCGCCGCCGACAGGAGCACCCGCTGAAAATGTTGCGAAAGCTATTGAACGCATTTTAGACGGAGGGAATGCATGCGCCAGGATACCGAGCTGAGAAACTGCATGAGAATTCTAGTTCAAAGTATGTAAAATATACAAAATACTCACTGAAGACGGTATTGTAGCAGCAGCACCAAGGCCTTGGAAGGCGCGCAAAACGACGAGGGTACTACCACCTGTGATGACAATGTAAATGGATAGAACTGACTAACAGATAAGTAGCACTCACTCTGTGCAAAGCCAGCACCAAGAGAAAACGCGACTTGACAGAGAGTACCGACCATAAACGCCTTTTTCTGACCATAGATATCCGCCAATCTGCCAAAGAACAAGAGAAGGCAGCCCTAAGTGGGAAGTAAGCCGAGACGCAGAAAGATGAAGAGAGACAATGACGCACCGAACTGAGCGAATAGGCAGATACGAGCCACTGCAGCTGGTCTTCCTTGACATTTAGGTCCCTTTGAATAGTTGGGAGCGAGATAGAGACAGAACTGGTGTTAGCGGTCTGTGATTAATAACGAATAGCAAGCCATCATGAAAAAAATGTTGCGGAATATGATTACGATGAAGGCATACATTGACCACCATTGCAGCGGTGCAGGTCACGATGATAAAGACAGAGCGCAAAAGACTGCGCTGTACATCCGAGTCTGAATCATAGTGCTTAGCCTTCTCGAGGTTGAGATCTTGATGGATTGGTGAACGAGTAAGCTCCTGAGACATTACTTCTCGCGTTTCCTGGAAACTTGAGAGTGTAAGGCTCGGGGCAGGATAGTTTGATATTCATCATGCATGGGCCGCAACCGGATATATAACCAAAGTGAAGTTTTCTTATGTGCTGGTAGTGCTGTTGGCAGAATCCGGGAGACCCGGGCGTTGTGCCTGGCCAACGTTGGCAGAACTCACGCGAAGAGAGTGAAGTCGACGTCCCTGCAGTATGATGACCATCCACATACGGCAAAAGTCAGTATTTTTATTTTTATTTTAAAAAAAGAGAATTCTAGTCAAATCTCGTCAACACAGTTTGATTCTTCACCTTAGTACACCCCACCCCTTAACACCCCTCAGACCTAAGCGAATCGTTACACATGCCCTGACAACGGTGTCATATCAACTGACTTGACTCGATATTGAAGAGGTTGACATACGTACTTGATCGAGGCTCGCGAGAGTACAGGCGTCTCTGTGGATATATTTTCTGGTTCTAACTTCTACCATTTTGCCAAGTCCATTCCACCCCTAGGCTATGCTTTCCGCGGACCTTTGTCGAAACACTTGTTCGCTAGGGCCAGAAAAACATTCAAGAACTGATCACCCGTAAATTAACGGTCTTCCTGTGGTGGAAATCCGTTGATGATCACTTATATCGTGCGATTGCTTGTGGAAAGAACTTCAGAAGCATTGTGTCGATGCCTCGGAGTCGATGCTTAAGCACTTATAAGCCTTTAACCATTCAGGGCCGGCGTACCGTAGATCAACTATACGGACGGTCGCACCGATACAAGAAAAAGCCCACGAGAAATACCGTGCGCTGTGCATTATACTGCTGGGGGCAGAATTATTTGCAGACAATCGTGCCGGTACAACGGGTAGAAGTGGCAGAACTGCCACTGCCACTTGGCAAAATTATCAAGGCGCTATGATGAACTACCATGATCTCATCGTCAACAGATTTTGGTACTACCGAAGACCTCGGTCAACATGCTTTAATTCTGCAAAATCATAAACTTGGCCCTCCAACACTTCGTTTCCATCATCCAGCGCTCGTTCCATGGCTTTTTTCTCGTGTTCCAAATTCCAATGGTGCAAATACTACATCGATCTCATCAAGTGATATGGATTCAGGACTTGCAAGATCGGACAGTCATCGATGTTCCGAGTCTGAGGCGCGAGTGGTGGTGCCCACGCAAAACTGGCTTCTAGATCGGCAGCTACATCGGTATTGATCATAATTTTCAAGTTTTCAACAGGCCTTGGGACGCGACGACTTTTCAACAGTGTTATTAACAGGTATTAACAGGTATTTTAAACATCACTGAAAACCTCATCGCGTGATATGCCGTTATTCAAATTACAATGCTGAATCATAATTTTTACTACCGAGATAGTATTAGATGGACCGACATGGGTGATTTCGTGATTATACACCCGAGTAGAATTATCCTTGTTGTTGAAGAGTTATCTTCGAAGAAATACACATGTAACCCCGAGTCATAGTTCTGTTATCATTATCGAGTCGTATCGCTTCCTCCGTCAGGTAGATGGCGCTGCAAGTTCTGGGCAGACGCCACCTAATTGGCGTCACAATCATAAACCCATTGCAAGTACATCTCACAAGGTACTGGTATTCTAATATACAGCCATGGCTGCAGAAGCAGACCATGTGATGTAGAGTCAATACCGAATCACCCAATAATTGCGGACTTGTTGTAGATTCATGCCCTGTTGTCGAATAATTATATGAGCCTTGTAATCTCAAGTCATAGTTCTGTTACATCATCATCATCATCAGGTGTTTTTAGTTTTATTTATGTCCTATTGAGAGTAGAGTACTCTATGAGAGACAATATATCTAGTCTAAAGGACTCCTTGTCCTTGTTGCACCTCAGAGTTCGAGGCAAACGTGCCTGGACCACCGTTCGAACGAAAATCAGCATAGTTGGCCCTGACTCTCATCAACGTTACTCACATCGCCATCATGATGTCATGATGGGAGCCTGGGACCTTTCAACAAAGTCGTTGAGAACTCGCTACATCTTTTGTCAAAAGCTCGTACCCTATTCTGGTGACTGGTAACGAAGATTTGCTCGAATCTTTGTCAGTGTTGTGTCTACCGTGAGATTGCAGCGCTTCGGAGACTGAGTGCTACCCATATCTGAGATTCTAGAAGCGTTCGACGTCGGTAGCACGGGGAAGAGGGTGATTGCTAGTGTCTTCAAAGGATGTCTGTCGGCACTGACTGCGAAGCCTTCCCATCATGCCAATCCGTCAGGCTATATGCTTTGAGGTCATCCATGAACAGGCTGTATTGCTGAAAAATTCCTACTCTACAGGTAAGGAAGTGCAGTTGCTCTGAGTTGATCGAGGGCCATATAAGGTGAAGAGGGGTATTAGAATCCCTTTCGCTGCGATCCCCTGTAGTTTGACATTCTGCCGGATTCTGCCAAGCCGGCCGGCAGAATGGCAGACTTCTACCCACAACACTAGGCTGTGCATGATCATTAACTAGTCTCCCATAGCATAGCCAACAGGAGGAACAACCATTCCTCCTCAAACTTTCAACGTTTCAACGTTCAACCTTGCATCTATAAATTATCCGATGATCACGACATTGTTACAGTACCACTACCAGTATAACATGCCGAGTAAAATCCAAAGGGTAACGCTTTACACGTAGAAGAAACGACAACGAAAACATGCAATGCCTAGGAGTCGAAATGATGGCGTGGGTGGGTGCGAAAACTACTGACTACATATATAGGGAGACCAATAATAAATGTCGAATTTAGACTTGTGAGTTCCTGTGGATTCTCGAACACGTATGACAGAAACGAAAACATGCAATGCCAGAGTCAAAACGACGGCATGCGTGGGCACGGTAACTATTGTCGATACGATTAATGTTAAGGATGTTGAATTTGGATTGGCGGGTTCCTGTGAATCCCGAAACGTGCGAGGTGCGATGGAATAAATGCAAAGGGTGGCATATACGAGTTCGTGATGGCATAAGTACCGTCCGTTAGAATGTCGATGTCTTACTTAGTTGGACATAGCCGGTATCACAGCGTCGTTAGACACAGCATGCGCAGCCATGGTCTGATCGGAATCAACATGCCTAATGACCTTGTTGTGTCCGACGATACCAACAGTGCGGAGGAAAAGCGCTGCCAGCAGCGCGGCTATAATCACAGTAACCATCAATGATCCGCTCTCAACACAAGACAAATTCACAGTACTCACCCATAAGGGCAAACGCAGCAGAGGTCCATTGCGCATCTTTATACCCCACGAGTTGTGCAGACATGGGCGCATTGGTACCGCTGGAGTTTACAGTGACGCCGAGTTTGGCAGATTCCCTATCAACTACAGTGTTGAACACAATTGTGGTTATAGTTAGACCGAATGCGGTGCCGATCTAACCAAAAATATAGCAGTTTAGTATAGGACAGTGTTGGTTGTTTCACGGGGACTTGCCTGTGTCATAGTTTGAAATAGCGCTCCAGCCACGCTGTGTTCGTGTGGGAGCGAGGTTTTGGCAATGAAAATTGTACCGGAGGAGTATACGAAGTCAGCGCCGAACACGATAAGAACTGTGGATGGGAAGCCGAAGGCCCAGTATGTTGCAGACGGGTCAATTAGGGCAAATAAGATGGCGGCCGTTGCTGTCAAGAGAGTTCCGCTGACTGGACCACAAGTTAGTTTCACATGTTAATATTCTGCACATAGGCACTTGCCTACAAAGATAACCAAGGGCAATTTGGCAACGACCATCGCCACGAAAAAGTTGCATAAACAACCGACAACGAACATGGGAATGAATCGGATCATAGTGTTCACCGGTGTCAATAGCAGGTAGTTCTGATAATACAACTAGAAAACGGAGTCAGCGATATCGTTCCCTTGGGTGGTGGAACCGGAACATACCTGAACCCAGAAGCTCCAGCCAATGAAAGCACTCCAATTTAAGAACGCGATGACAAGGACAACGGCCATCCGGCCCTTGGCCCGACTCCAGAGCGAGAGCCTCATGAGTGGTGGTGGCGTCCACATAGATGTCGCTCTTGATGGATCGTCGTCAATAATTTGTTCTAGCCTCCACTCCCAAGCCAAGAATAGTCCAACCATGATAACTCCGAGAATAAGGAGCACGATAATATCTGTTGATAGTTTTAGCCAATGACCGGCATGGTCCGGTGACATTCTTACAAGGGGTTTTCCAGCCGTCGGAGGCGATTTCTCCTTGACCAAGTACGAATACAATCAAAACCAAGCCAATTGTGACGAGCGAAGCGCCGATCCAGTCGACACGTTTGACAAGTTCCGATGAGGGAACGTCAGCATCGAATGAAATTAGACCCGAAACTCCAATTACGGCTGAAGTTGCCGCAGCCATGTAAAATACAGCGCGCCAATGTGATCTGTGTGACAGCATGAGAAATACAGCGTGTATCGGTAATCATGACGCACGAGGTGAGTTGAGTCAGGACACCGCCGATGATCGTGCCAAATGCGCCACCCACAGGAGCACCCGCTGCAAAGGTAGCGAATGCTATTGAACGTGCTCTTGACGGAGGGAACGCATGGGCTAGGATACCAAGCTGAGAAAGTAACTGAGCATTTTTGAATCAAAAATATCTCGGGAGAACTTACTGAGGATGGTATTGTAGCGGCGCCTCCAACACCTTGGAAGCCACGGAGGACAGCGAGAGTAAGACCATCTGGGATTACATCGTGAGTGGACGGAACACGGGAACGGACGGAAGGCACGCCAACCTTTTGCAAAGCCACAACCGAGAGAAAAGGCAATCTGACAGAGAGTACCAACCATGAATGCCTTTTTTCGTCCATAAAGATCCGCCAATCTTCCAAAAAACAGGAGAAGGCAACCCTGACACGAGGTGAGCCGTCATATTAAAATAGGCAAAAATAGAACATACAGAACTGAGAGAATAGGCGGATACGAGCCACTGAAGCTGTTCTTCCTCAATAGCTAGGTCCTTCTCGATTGTTGGAAGTGAAATCGAAACAGAGGTGGTATTAGATATCTACAATTTAAAAGAGATGTCACCAAAGATCTGCGAACAAAGGTATGATGGATACTCACATTAACAACCATTGCAGCGGTACAAGTGATGACTATAAAAATGGAGCGCAAACGACTACGCTGGGCGTCATGGTCCTTTACCGTCTCGATGTTACTCAGTGAACGGCCAAGTTCCTTGCCAGAAGGTGTGGCCAGGTTAAGTTCCTTGGACATTACTTTTCGTGATTCGGTGCAGGGGAGGGACGGGAATGCAAGAGCCTAGCGTGGCGATCCAGGAGATACATCTGAGTTTTATAGGACGTTGGCATCACCGCAAAGCAACGGTACTACTAAGCGTGTTTATCGCAAAGGCTAGGACAAACCTTGATTTGGAGTGCAGGCATCCGGCACGAACGCATTTTACTACTAAAAACCATTACGCAATATTAATCATCCGGTCCCAGTCCAGGGCTAATCTAGTCTAGCAGCTGGTTTAGTGTCCAAAAAAAGCTATGCCACCAGCAATCGGCCGGCGATGTAACTAGGCGCTTCCGTGCTGCATGTGTTTCGAAGCCCGATACCGTGCCCGAACCTTTCATACATAAAAAACAACCATGAGTAGACACGCGTTAAGGGGTGTGCCTAGCGTCCCTATGTAAAGTCCCCAAAACCCACCTATCACAACATTTGCCGAGAAACTCACCTCTACCGCATTTCACAATAACCTCGGAACTAAGATTGAGCGGGGATACATCCAGATATATTGCGATAGTGCGTCAATTCAAAAGGATTAGCGTATATAATGCTGCGTAACTTGCACGGCAGTGCCACCCCAATCACTCCTGGATCTTCGCAAGGATCTCTGCATCCTTGAACAAGTAGTATTCCTGCAAACAATCAGCAAAAATACCACCAATCCACTAGGATAAAAACCGACCTCATCTCCTACTTTAATTGAATTCCCTCCCCAACCAGGAAGCAACACCCGGTCCCCAGCCTTGACCTGAGTAGGAACAACATTCCCTTCCTTGTTAGGCGCTCCAGGGCCCACGGCAATTACAGTAGCTTCGGGTAAGGGCGTAGTGGTCGAAGACGAGGGTAGGAAAATCCCAGAGGCTGTTTTCTACTCCACCACAACACCGCACAAGCAATTTTAGAATGTATAAAACACGTCATAACTTTTCGATGCGCACTGTTTCAGGCTTGAATCGCTGGACCAACACACGGTCGAGCAGAGGAATCACAGCTTTGATGCTCTTGAACGTTGCCTGGGCAGCCTGGACACACCGACTATTAGCACCTGCATAGACTCGTATCGCATCTCCTCGCCCTCACTCACCATGGTTTAAATAGAAAGCTGAAGACGAAGCGGGTGGGCAAAGCTGAAGAAAAAGTTGTGCACACAGAACTTTCCCGAGTTTTAGGCCGTTTTATTTGGTCCAGGCAAACATCTTCTCACCAGCCACGTGGTCTCATGGACGCGACGCGTCTTGGAACATCGCCGAAAACATCAGAAACAAAATTTTCTCCAGTCTCCCTCACGAAAATTTAACACATCTGGCTCGCGAAAAAAAAAAACTCTCCACCCCTACTACTGATGAGATGTAACTCTATGATGTAATGCCAAGCAGACAAAAAAATATAATAGTAGATTCAGACGAAAGTAGTAGTACCTGGTTAAACATTGATCGTGACAATCGCTGGAGAGTCGTACGTGCGTAGCGCTCGTGATGCAGGTATGTATGTACTATGTATATATGTATGCACTAATGATGGACAAAAGGAAAGACAATTATTTAGGGGGTAATGAGCGTTGCGGGCAGGGTCGCGCGAGGTGGGTGCACAAGGGAGTAACGCGCTTGTGTAGGCAGTGAGACACGTAAATCTACACGTGTAAGCGTCTGTGAGCCGTGCATCGTGCCCTTCACCCCAGAACCATATCATCACCACCCGGAGGCGTCAAATCCCACGTCTCCTGCCCACGCCCTTCATCCTCCCGGACTTCCTCACCACGTCTCCTAGCGGGCTGCCATCTATTATGCACAAGCATCATCCTTGTCTCCCTAATCACACCCGTATCCACAACTCCAGAGACTGTCTCAGGCCCTCCTTCGATTTTGTATCGTTCCAAATCCAGATCCCGATGGACTCCCTCGTCGTGGCTGAGGAATAACAGGCTGAGGATGATTGGTGGGAGGAAGAACAGCACCGCGAGGTCGCACAGTCAATTGGGCTGCAACGGTGGAGGATTCACAGGCGGGTGCAACATATGTTGCTGAACGATATGATTAGCAGCAATCGTACCTCCCATCCGTTCCCGCTCCCGTAATTGTCGTTCCCTCTCGGCTCTTCTCTCCGCGCGCGCCTGGGCGGCTTCAGCAGCAGCAACAGACGCAGGGGTCTCTCCATCCCCATGACCATGGTCCGTACCGTGTTGATGCTCCGTAGGCTCCTCAGCTTCATCTCCTTCCTTCACACTACACCAGAACCGGTGCCCTTCGCTCCATGCAGTGCTCTGACACTCCTTGCCACAATATTTTGCTTTCCGGCATCGTCTGCATTTCGCAAACTCTCGTGGATAGGTCTCCCAGCGCCCGCACAGCACTATACTCACTCAACATCAATTCGCTGGTAGGAGAAAGATAACTCACTGTTCGCACATTGCCGTATTCCGCCCCGACTATCGTCCTTCCGACACGCATTTCGCATGATCACACCCGCCCAGTAGGATATTTCCGGAGGAAGCTTTGGTGGCGGGTTGGGCAGCTCGTTCTCCGTCATGCTGGGGCGGAAAGTAAACCGCTCTACGAGAGAAAATACATTCGTCATACGGTGGGGTAGTACCGGGGTAGTAAGTGGCGCCTTCTCTTTCTCCTTGCCCCGTGCAGTCGCAGATGCAAGCGCGCGAAAGAACCCATATTGTTCTTTCGCTGGTGGTGTAGGTGGAGGGACAGGAGCGGGGATATTCCGTGTTCCACTGGGTCCAGCGACAGGTTGCTGTTGAGGATGAGGACTATGATTACCAGCCGCAGGGTGGAATGATGGGCGTTGCTTATAAAATGCCTGCCGCACATGCGGATACTTGCTAAGATAAGCGAGGAGCTGGAGACTAAAAAGCACGTCTTCGTCCCTGAACGGACCTTGGTCGGGATCGCGGTGGTGGTGATGGCTCGAGGTGCGCACTGTGTGCATGGTGGCGGTCGGGGTAGGGTGCTCTCCTCGATTTGCGGCTGCACCCTCGCGGGCAGGTTCCTCGCTATGCGGGGCATTCGGCAGAACAGGGGCCGCGGGAAGGGGAACAGCCGTGGCACGGGGCGTTGCATCTGGGGCAGTGCGAACTCTCCGATCAGCCAAAGGGACATCGACTCCACGGAGACCTCGCGCGGGGATTGTCTCATCCATGGCTCCTGGTGCACCAGGAGGTGCACCCATAGCAAAATCATCATTCGGCTCCAATGATACGATACCGTCCTCCACACCCACTGCCATCCCATCTCCACCCTGCCCATGGTGAATGATAATATGCGCGTCCGCATTTACTTGGAGAGGTGCAGGTCCTGGGACTGCGTCTGAGACTATACCCACAGTGCGGCGCGGACGCTGAGTGAGAGTCATCGATCGTGAAGGCTGGCGTACACGGGGTGCCGAGACAGGGGGAGCCGCACTATCATCAGTGTCCTGCGACATATCGACATCTGGGTCACCATCATCCTCAGTTTCTGTCTCAGGTCTTGAATTGTCGGTCGATTCGTCAGGTGACGCAGTAGTAGGGCGGACGCGATGAGCCCTTGCACGCATTGTGGCAGGTGGGATTACAGGATCGTCCCAAGCACGGCGAGCAATTATGGTACCGCTGCGCTCACGAGCATTGACTAGGACAGTTACAGTCGGTGTTTCCGTACCTTGAGGTGTGGGATTAATAGATGTTTCGGCAGAAGTATCTGCCTCATGAGATGAGGATGAGGAGTGGCGGGTGTAATAAGGTCGTTCGCGCGCAGCTATTTGCACTTGGACAGGGGCGGGCGTCTGGTCCAGATGCACAGAAATATTCGAATAGGAAGGTTCGGTACCGATATCGGCCATTATTGTATCCTGAAGAGGGATCAGTAAGGAGATGACACGCAACACAAAGACAGACATCTTGGATTGGATCAATACGGGATGTCATGAATTCTGTGCGGTTAGCCGCATCAACGGCGATTTGACGTTGGAGTGCACGATGGAGCTGGGTAGCCTCTTCTCGTTGTCTTTGTTCCTGGAGTGCGGCCCGACGGGCGAGGCGATGCTCGCGAGACTCACGAGGTAAACCGGATGCGCTCGAACTAGGCCCGATGGCAAACCCTTTATGAGCTAACCATGACTCGAGGATACAACCGACTACTTCGAGGGCGCCAGCCTGGACGATGCGACTCCGGATTGGCTCGCTGCCTCTTATACCGATGTTAACTATACTCTGAAGAGCCAAGCTAAATCGATAGGCGGCGTGCTTATCATAACTTGCAGGGTTGATTGTTGGGACAAGCTTTTGGGGGCGCGAGTTTGGAGGAGAAAGACCGTAAATGTAACCAGGGTTCTCTGGCGGAGGAGGACATAAGCAGTAGTCATAAAGAATGCGCATAAGACGTTCGATTGCGCCGTCCATTGTCATGATCTCGCGTATTCGGGCTGAAGTTGAAGTTAGATATGTGAGATGGTGTAAGGAGGTGAATAGCGGGAGTGGCGAAGATGTATCGAGACCTGAAATAAACTTATAACCAAAAAATCATATAGAATTTAAATGAACTAACCTCGTCTATCGTAACATTGGGAGGTGATGCAAACGCAAGCCCTATTCTGTGCGGGAAAAGCATGGTTTGATTCGCGCATGATGCGAGTCGATGACGACGAGTGTTGTGAATGCTGTTGAAAGTGATTAATCGGAACAAGTGATGAATACTTTGTTCGTGCTCGCTGTGTTCGGCGATGAGCTCGAGGGATAGAAAGGAAGGAATGTAAGGATGAGTGGATGGGGCTTGTGGTTGCACTGCACAGGCGAACGATGACTGAGACCGTTCCTTGTTTGTGATTGTTGTTCTTGTGGCATTGTTTCCCATTCCACATCATGATTTTGATATCTGCATCACTGATTATAATCCAATCTATTGGTTGCAACCGTGTTTCACTCACACGCATATGACATGGCAATACATATAATGATAGCCCAAATTATTCGGTATAGCATTCTACATTATAACACACTTGTCTTTCATCTTCTTGCTTTTCCTACTAGCACTATCCTCGTTCTTCCGTTTCCGCTCCTCTTCCTTCTGTCGAATCTCCTGTTGCTGCTGTCTCCGCTTATATATCTCATGTGATCGCGCGTCTTCTTCCGCTTGTAGTTGCCGTGCTAATATCACACTGTATAACTTGCATCTCAGTAATTCATTTTGGAAAAAACCTCATAAATCTTACTCTGGGTTTCCTTCCATCTCTAGAGCATGTAATGCGCTTTCCGCCGTGTGTCCAGCAAAATCGCCCCCCACAGGTGTCGAACGAACAAATGCCGAGTCCACAAACGTCGACCCAACCCCGTCGACATCTTCTAGACGCTCCCATATCACCGATGGTTCTTGCAGGAACACATGATCCGTGACCAAACTGTAAAGTGACGAGTCCTCTCCCTCCCGTTTATGCAGCACAGAAAGGTGCGAATTTCGGAACAGCGCAACAAGTGACCCAGGCTGTAACGTAGACGCAAGCTGAAACAGCCCATGATACGTCAATTGAGACTTGGTACTATCCAAGAACGCCTGTGCCACCAGCGCTAAAAAAAACTCATAAGCAATAAATCTCACATAACAAATTTAATCATACCATGTTCGATCTTCTCTCTATCTTTCTCCGAATAATTATCACTAGCACTACTCGGGCCCGCATAGCCACTCAGCCCGCTCCCCGCTTGGCTACTACTCCCTGCCTCTCCTTCACCCCACACATCCCCACTCAACAACCGTCCCCTCGTAATGTGATCCGCATCCGCAATAAGTGTTACTGTAGTATCGTAATCACGTACATGCTGCAACACCCTGAACTCCTCGCTGTCAGGGTCAACAAGCCACCCATGCACGAGTTCTATCCCTGCCTGCTCGAACAACTTCAGCTCCCCACCTTCCCCTGCAGGTCGAAATGACGTGGCGCCTGTGAAGACAGGGTTGAGATCGAGGCCCTCTAACGGCATATTAGCTTCACTAATTACTAGTTAGAAAGAAGTGGTGCGTACTGGTGGTGCTAGGCATGATCGAGAGTGCAGCAGAGACATCAATATCCGGACAACTCATGAGGAGATACTCTCCTACGAGCTGC